CTAACAACTCCTTACTTACTAACAACTCCTTACTTACTAACAACTCCTTATCACTAACAACTCCTTACTTACGAACAACTCCTTACTTACTAACAACTCCTTACTTACTAACAACTCATTACTAACAACTCCTTACTTACTAACAACTCCTTACTTACTAACAACTCCTTACTTACTAACAACTCCTTACTTACTAACAACTCCTTATCACTAACAACTCCTTACTTACTAACAACTCCTTACTTACTAACAACTCCTTACTTACTAACAACTCATTACTAACAACTCATTACTAACAACTCCTTACTACTAACAACTCCTTGCTTACTAACAACTCCTTACTTACTAACAACTCCTTACTTACTAACAACTCCTTACTAACAACTCCTATCTTACTAACAACTCCTTACTTACTAACAACTCCTTACTTACTAACAACTCCTTACTTACTAACAACTCCTTACTTACTAACAACTCCTTACTTACTAACAACTCCTTACTTACTAACAACTCCTTACTTACTAACAACTCCTTACTTACTAACAACTCCTTACTTACTAACAACTCCTTACTTACTAACAACTCCTTACTTACTAACAACTCCTTACTTACTAACAACTCCTTATCACTAACAACTCCTTACTTACTAACAACTCCTTACTCACTAACAACTCCTTACTTACTAACAACTCCTTACTTACTAACAACTCATTACTAACAACTCCTTACTACTAACAACTCCTTACTTACTAACAACTCCTTACTTACTAACAACTCCTTACTTACTAACAACTCCTTACTTACTAACAACTCCTTACTTACTAACAACTCCTTACTTACTAACAACTCCTTACTTACTAACAACTCCTTACTTACTAACAACTCATTACTAACAACTCATTACTAACAACTCCTTACTACTAACAACTCCTTGCTTACTAACAACTCCTTACTTACTAACAACTCCTTACTTACTAACAACTCCTTACTAACAACTCCTATCTTACTAACAACTCCTTACTTACTAACAACTCCTTACTACTAACAACTCCTTGCTTACTAACAACTCCTTACTTACTAACAACTCCTTACTTACTAACAACTCCTTACTTACTAACAACTCCTTACTTACTAACAACTCCTTACTTACAACTCCTTACTTACTAACAACTCCTTACTTACTAACAACTCCTTACTTACTAACAACTCCTTATCACTAACAACTCCTTACTTACTAACAACTCCTTACTCACTAACAACTCCTTACTTACTAACAACTCCTTACTTACTAACAACTCCTTACTTACTAACAACTCCTTACTTACTAACAACTCCTTACTTACTAACAACTCCTTATCACTAACAACTCCTTACTTACTAACAACTCCTTACTTACTAACAACTCCTATCGTGTTTAATTTCTGGAGGGGTTGCCGCCCCCCTCCCCTACCTGAAAATCCTGGCTCCGTCATTGTCTATACCGCTCTCGTTCTTCGCGGCAGCGTGCGCTCTGGCCGTGGCGTTAAAGCTGCCTTCCTGGCGACGGTGGCGCCTTAAGGAGGCCCTCTTCATTAAGGACACGGGAAAGTATCTCGACCGTCCTTCTATAACTGAACACGTCCTAGTAGGTGTTCAGCACACGGGAGTTTTTTGGGGGGAGGATTCGGGGCCACCGAGCGATGTGGCCCAACAAACTGCCGCCGCCAAGCGCACTCGATTGTGACGTGCACAAAGCGTCGATTTTAATTACGAGCGCCCCCTCCTTCCAATGGTCATTAACTGGACACATTCGCCCACAGCACTGCCTTAGAAAAAACGATTAGATATTTTTTCATAATAGGCGACGTTTTGGGCCATTGTCCTTCTCCGCAGCACCTTGAGAGACCAGAGAGAGAGAGAGAGGCCTCTCTATGTGCTGCGATTAAGGGCTATTGGCCGAAACGTCACCTATTATTTTTTTTATTTTATATACTTATATACTTTTTTTTAACGGCCACAATGTTGTTGGCGAATGTGGTGGCCGGGTGGCTCTAGGCTTAGAGCACCGAGCCGACTCCGTCGAATTCCTGGGTTCGAATCTCAGTTTCACCAAACGATTTGTTCCAAGGCTACGGTTCGGGGGGGGGGGCGGCGACTGAGCCGAGCAGCGACGCGTTTGCTGCACGTTGTTGTGGTCTACGGTTGGAATCTAACGGCCCGCCCTGGTGAATGCTGCGAGTGGATTGGCTAAATAATATGCGCCATCTTGCTTTGCAGCGGATGCAAAGATCCTGTGACGTTATTGAAAAAGGGGAGGCCATTGTGCGCCAGCGTGACGGGCAAAACTTGCAAAAAATTCCCGCAAATTATGCACAGCGAAAAATACGTTCAACGTGCATACGTACGGAGTGCGGTAGTTTGCGACGTGAAAGAGGGGGGGAGGGGGGTAGCAGGCTTGGGATGGGGCAGGAGGAACTTGAGCCATGGACCTAAACCCTCGCCTGGAGAGATCTAAACAATAAAATATCCCAATTGTGCATTCTGCAATATGCCACCCAGCGAAGCAGATGCGCTTTTCCAGTGCCACCTTCTAAAAAGGCCCTCGCGTCGTTTGGGGGAAAAGTTCCGGAGGATGACACCATGCAAACTGGCTCTCTGCAGTCGCTTCAACAGGCCTCTCTCACCCGCCACTAGGTGGCGCTCCTCTACTATAAGAGGGCATTGCGACGTGTACATCACCCAGCAGTGGACTAATCATGGCTGATCATGATGAGTTATGTGTATATATGTTAGAGCTCTGACATGGACACAGGCTGGACTGAGTGAAAAATATTTTTGTGTTCAAATTAAGTGAGGAATTTTTGTTGTTGTTGATGATGATTGAACGAAATAGAGCTACATCCATCTCTCCACGTGTCCATTTTTAGCTCATACGCTAATCGAGCTTCCAGACCGATGTTGTCCAGCAGCAGCGCTTGTCGAAGTGGGCAAACCCGGCAACTGCTTTCGAACTTCTCGGTCTCATCAGAGTCAGGCCTTTTTTTTTTAAAAACCAACACTGCCGAGTTCCCAGATTGTTATTGGCAAAAGCACTCCATTTATATGCAACGTGGCCCAAGCACAAAGAGCAATATTATTTAGAATATTACAGATTATTTATTTATACGCGGAGAGATGGATGGAAACGCGTTTATTTATTTTGTTACCCACACTACCGCTGATCTAGAATCGGCAGTGCAGAGGCACGGCGCTCCGCGCGCTGCACTGTGTACCTGGTGACCTGAATTCCATTCTCCGCCCCACCGCATGCAGCAGTGGCAAGGTGATATTCGAACTGGGGGCGGGGCTTCCCTTCACCAACCCCGCACGGACCAGCGCGGCGAAGTGCGATCAAACAATCCCTGTGACAGACTCGCAGCGCGGAGGCCTTCATCCAGCAGTGTATTGACAAAGGGGCCGTGAAATTCAATGGCCGCAACAGTGCCCGGCGAGTTTCTTAGATGCTCTCAATCTGCGTGCTGAGACCATCAGGCCGCTTTAATCGTGGGCGGGTGGCCTGATTTAATGTCTGTGTGACGACTCGCCGACGCGTTATATGGAGAGCCACTTTTATTCATAGAGTTTACAAAATAAGAACGCCCCTGCTAACGATATCCACAATAAGGGACCCAAGGTCTTCGTGACTGTCTTCCAGCTAGTATCTTCCTCCGAACGTCCCACACTCCTCGTGCCCGCCCCTTATATCTCCCTCAGCCGCCTTTCTCGAACCTTCTCGTCCAAGTTTTTACCTCGAGCCAATCCCCGTCCTTTCCCTTTAACGGATCCTTTCTGTGTTTCCGTTCAACCCCCCTTATTCTCCAATCCCTTTAAAAGTCTGCCCTCCCGACCAATCACCGTGGAGGCCTCTTTCCTCCAATCGGAGACCGTTTTTTCTATTTTTAAACAGCCGTTTAGGCTGCATATCGCTTGGGGTAATATTTCGGTCATTACATTTGTAAGTGTGTGTGTGTTGAACTTCTTTCGCACCGGGAAATTGTGCGGGAACTCATGGGTAGGGTGGCCTGGTTTAATCATGGGTGGGTGGCGACCTAGTTTTCGGACCCAGGATCTCGGTGGTCACTGGCCCAGTCCTGTGACATTTCCAATAGCAGTCCCCCCCCTGAATTGTGGTGCAGCAACGCTGTGGATGTTGGAGGTGTCCTACGCTACAAGCGAATGGTTCCTGGTGGTTACGTATGTATGTGCCTATGTATGTTGAACGTCTTTCGCACTGTACGTAGCCAACCGTCGATAACCGGAGGTTTCCGGGTGGATTAGAGACAGGATCCACGACGTTTACCACCCCCCCCTCCACTTTGTCACGGATAAGAGGACTTTTCCTGCATTATAATTATCATCATTGGCTGCCAGTGGCTCAGTTCTAAGCCGACTGCGTGCACTACTCGACATTTTAAATGTTCCATCATCAGTATAATCAGCGTTAATGTCATCTCGTTGAGCACGGAAAAATGTGGACTAAAAATACCGTAATTAAAAAAAAATATGTAGGAAGTGTCTCTTAGCCGTATCTAAAAATGTTGTGAGTGTCTGTATACTCATGACACCCATAGGGGGCTGTGTCCCTGGGCCACCTGTCCCCCCCCACTCCCCACCGCTACACAATTATGAACATTATCTTCCGAATGATGATCACTGACGACGATCACTTGAAATCCAAGGTAAACAGAACTCAAGTAGCTCATAATGTTTGTCACCGTAGCAGCGCGTGCGATAGTAGATACGCAGATACTTTCTGCTTGAAAAACAATTACTCGAGCAGGCCATTGATATCGCGTTCCCTGGTCTCGTGGCACATTGCTGGATGAAGGCCTCCTTTCAGTCGGTGACATCCTTCACGGTCCGGTGTTGCGACGCATCATTTCCCCGCACCTCCGATTAACACCGTTGGCTACGTACGCGGTGTAAAAGAAGTTCAACACGCACACATACGTACAGTCCATCATCGAGCTTCTGCACGCCAGCCGATGGCGTCATTCCGGGAGTAGTGGGGGTGGGGGGGGGGGCAACTGGGCCGAGCAGTCGCGTGTTTACCGCAAGTTGTTGAGGTCTGTGTTTGGAATCTTAACGGCCCGCCCTGGTGAATGTCGCGAGTGCGTTAAACAAAGGCTATGCGCCATCTACCTTTGCAGCGGACGTGGAGATGCCGTGACGTTATTCCAAAAAGAGTTAGGCCATTGTGCGCCAGCGTAACGGCCCAAATTTGAAAAAAAAAAATCCCGCAAAATATGCACAGAATTCATTGACCCCTCCTACAAAAACATGGCAGGACCCTCTTGAAAGAGAGTCATGAGACTCAGTGAGGCTTTCCTGGGTAAAAATAAAAAGCGTCGAGGTCCAAATATGAAAAATTACCCGAAAATTGCATGTTTGGGTTCAAACCACGTGGTGATATCCACCCCCTACTGACATACAATCCTCATCTGTTAAACACAGGCGCCTTCGTGATTAGTCCTTGCCTTGTAAGAACGGTGCGAATGCCCACATGTGCAAGCGAGTGCTCGTAGGTTTAACACGTAGGCTTTCGCGACCAACATCATCCATAACACAGGTTTCTTTTTGGCTTAGATCGCGTAAATAATCAATCATCATTTATGCGACCTAACCCAAAAAAAACCTATATTTTGGAGTGAGTATCTGCGCCCAATGGTCGTCCTCTCAGGCACGTCCCTTCTTTCGTGTCCCCTTGTGCTAAACGGCACTCGCATTCGAACGGGCCCGACGTGAAAGCACATTGGGGCCCCTAATTTTTTTTTTAAATTACACGCAAAGCTCCCCGTACACAGCCAAAAAAAATAAATGTAAATATACATTGCAAACGAAAGGCCGCTTAATGGCTCTCAGTGTCCCAACCCTCGACCACCTCTGGCCGTAAATAGGAAGTCATGTTTCAACAGCTGGGTATAAAAAAAGAAATGTGTTTTTGTAACATGCATTGTAACCGTATATCTGCAAAGCTGCTGTAAAAAGGCACGAATTAGGTCACGTGCGGAGTGTGCCTACAGAGGCTAATTGTGCCCTTGGCCTGCTCACAGATAGGGCCTGTGTGCAAGAAAGGCGGCCTTAAAGAGAACCTCACCAATAAACGCCCGAGATGGGCGGTGGCGGCTACGCACGTGGTCCTGTGAGGCAGCAGCGAGTTTGGTGGATCACCGCACAAACGCTGTGAAACTCCCTTCCTGTGGGTGTCGAGGAGGTTTGCTGTACCCCGGCTCGCCCCGGACAAGGCAGAACAGAAAATGTGGACAAATGTCGTCTGTCCCATCCGTACGGGATAGAGTGTTGCCCCCTCGCATGCATGGGTTTTCTGCGGGTGCTCCGGTTTCCTCCCACAAGAAAACACTTATTCATTGGCCGATGACACCTTGGTATATAGAGGACCGCAGAGCTTGGAGGCGATGGAGAGAGGAAATTTGGCACCGGCTCACCGCATGGCTGCTTCTGCCTCTCCCGCTCGTCTTTGTGGTTCTTCCTCGCGCCTCCGAGTCGTTCCCTCCCTGCGGGAGCGAGTGCATACAGCGTTACACGTTGAGGTTATTATCATCATCACCATCATAAAAATAGGAGAGACCTTTGCCCAGACGTGACGACAACGACGACGACGACAACGACGACGACGAACTCGAACGCTCCGACCGCGCCTCGCGGAGGCGGGGCGGCCGGCTCTTTGTGACGAGCGTCCAACGTCACCAGGGCACCAGAGGGACGCGATCGGGTTACGCCGGGTGGGCGGCCCGGGTTGAGCGCGTGGCACTTTGCAACACGAGGCAGGTCGCACGGGCAGCTGCGGGCGCAGCTGCCCACGTGAGTCACACGGCGACATTGACCCCGCGCACAGCACGAACGCGTGCGCCGCAACGCCAGACGCGGGTGAGTTTTGTGAGCACCGAAGACGAATGGAATATTCGGAAAGCACGGTCGTAATCAGGCGAGACGTGAAATGGCTCCGGACGAAAATAAACCAGTTTTTTTCCCCCTCTTCAGGTCAAGATTGAAGGTTGTCAAGCAGAGGTCGAACGCGTAACACGGGGACGAACTGGCGGGGTAGGAAAAGTTGTTGTTGAGTTGTAACGTTTTGACCCGCCCCTGACTGGACATCTGTGAAAAAAGAGCTTCATAGCTCATCGGATTCCTCCGGTATGAATAAAGATTCCGATTGTTAAAAGCTCCGCCGGTGCGAACGCAGTCTGAGAAAACTGTGGTTGGCAGATGCGTGACTTCACTGCGTAACAATGAAACTGCGCGAATCACTTTGCTGCCCAACATCACGAATCCAGATTGAGTAATGAATAAGAACACGAGAATGTGCGTCGCGTTTCAAAGAAAACAAAATAGCTTTTTTCGAGGGAAAAAAATATTTCACGACGCTAGTTCAGGTTGGCGTTCGGGTGGTTTGTTTGGTTTACCTCGATATTTTTTCGTGGTTTATTGATGGCTTTTGAATTACCTTCATTGGACAACACGCACACTCGCATTTAAAGAATACCTGAGTTGTAAAGTCAGTGTTCACTAATGCAGACAATTGGAATGTGTTTTCAGCTGACCAACAGAACAGTTCCCTCACTTTCGTTTGAAGTGAAGCATTTAAAAAATAAACGTTCAATGTGCCCCTTGACCTAATCACCTGGAATCTGCCCGATGTCATTGGATCAAAGCGGTGTTGAGTCTGGATATTGCCTGCAAGGGCGGCTATCCTACATACAACTGGTGTCACAAGGCACCGCAGCCCAATCTATTATTGGGCTGTACAATGCTCCAACAGTCATGCTGTCCGCTTCCGCCAACCCCTCGCTGACCAGCGCGGGAAAGAATGGTCAAAGAACCCGCATTTGCCCGTGCGGCGTTCGCAGGCTTGCCCATTTAGCGGCAGGCTGATCATTGCTTATGACGAGTCCAATTGCGCTGTCGGTGGTGGCTACGCGCGTGGCCCCTGTGAGCCAGCAGCACTGTGGAAGTAGCGAGGGTTGGCGGACTACCGCACCAATGTTGCGAAACTCCCTTCCCGTGGGTGTCGAGGTGCCTCTATGGTCTGGCTCGCCAGGAGGAGGCAGTAGAGCAAATAGACGAATCGCAATCTGTTTCTATCTGTATGGGGATAGAGTGTTGCCCCCACCCGCTCTCCCCCCACCCCCCCTCCCGTGTGTGTGTGTGTGTGGCTTTTCTCTGGGTGGCTCCGGTTACCTCCCACTTGTATAATAAACACGAATTATCAATTAATTGACTGAAAATAACTGAGACATTAAAGGCCCATTTCAGGACCCTTCTGAAAATGAGTCCCATGACTCAGTGTGGCTTTTCCTGAATAAATAAGAAAATTTCGTAAATTATGTGACAAAGAAAGTTCCCGGTGGAACTCTCACAGTGAGAAGTGCACCCCGGTGTGCGGAGAACGACTCCCGGAAGATGACATTGCGGAACTACTACCGAGGTCACTTCCATAGGCCTTACACTTGTGGAGTACCTCACAGGTGTGCTGAGGTTTTTTTCCCAATTATTTTTTGACAGGCCACCAAGGACACATTGAGTCACCCATCCGCGAATGCCCAACAGACCCAAGCGCACGCTTATCCGAGTCGTTGTGGGTGACGTCACGTCGAAGCCACCCAGTCGTTACTCATCGCAGAAGAATGAAGCCATTACTTCCCGCAATTATATCCCATTTTGCGCCTCTTTAAAATAACACGAAAACCATCGCTTTCATGATGCGAGGCTGTGGGTGTTTTGTGTACGACAAATTGACCCGTGCCCACATCCACCCAACTCGACCCACAAAACATCATAATTTCGAACACTGTGTATCACCATAAGTCACAACCTGTACCCGGTGGCCCTTTGTAGGATAACTTTAAAGATTTATTTCATGATAACAAACATTTAAAGCATCCCACCGTCATGCTAAATCTTCACGGGAAGATACGATTGAAAATAAAGTGGAGATAATTGTAACAAAGATGAAAAATAAAAGATATAATGAAACCCAATGTCAGTCAGCCGCCGGATGAAGGCCTCCATCGTGCTGCGTCAATCGTGAGAAATGTTTGACCATACTTCACCACGCTGGTCAGTGCGGGTTGGTGAATGGGATTGAGAGGGAATTGACCGGTTCAGATATCGCTCACTAAAAATCAAACTCAAGGAAGCTCGGTACATTGCGCAGCGCGCTAACCGCAGCGCCACCACTCCCCCCCCACCCAGCCCTCTGCCCTAACACATGACAAAAAAATGAAATGACACACACCACATATGCGTAGTGTTGTAATTACTTTACTCATTACCACCCGAGCATAATATAATATCCCAACGCAGGTGGTTTGGGGAAATAAACGCTCCGTAAGCGTCATTATCTTTAATCTCTCGGATAGAGTGCGCAATTGTTTTGGAGCCCTGTGCCTCCCTCCTGAAGGCAGGTGTGGTGGTAACATGAGCTTGCCCCCCCCCCCCCCGCCGCAACGCAGCCCACTTGTGCTTGGACGAAGGAAGGGGGGGGGGGCGATGGCTGCAGCGTAGGGCGGCTGTAACTCGGCACTTGCCCGCATTTTGGCCGGGCTAAAAAGGGGGGCACGGGCAAGTTGCGGCAAAGCTTAGCTTTGACGCTCGTCACCTTCACGATGCATTATTCACTACGAACCCTCGTCTTTATGACGTGAAACTCAAAACACACCGAGCATCGGTTGCAGGTTTCCCCCGAAACTCCAGCTGCCGCCTCTGTCCAAACCTCACGCTTTAAATGGACACGCCATGGGTTTGTTGATCAACGGTGGGTGTGCAACCCAAACCTATGGACCGTATAGTAAACCATTCTCTGTTTTTTTTTTTACGATCAGAGGAAACAAGAAGATGCTCGGTGTAGTCGGCACTTTGCTTCGTTCATCATTTCGTTTTTTTTAATGCTTTGCTTTATGTAACCCCCCCCCCTCCCTTTTAAATGAAAGATTTCACAAAGATGTCACGTTCTGTTCTCCTTACCCCTTCCCTCTCTACCCCCTCTCTCTCTTTCTTTTTTCTCTGAAGCCCTCTCTCGTGGCTAGCAGACATTGGCAATATATATCATATCTGATCGGCGGGTCGCGTGTGGGGTGGGGCAAAGTGTGGATACTGCCGCTTCTTCCAAAATGTGTCGCTCGCGCTGGAAGACGATTTTCCAATGCTCTCCCACGGAGCCAATGCTTACCTGCAGTGGCGTGTTAGTTTTTACCGATGTAATACACCACCGGATGTGCTGCGCGCAACGGAAACACGTGCTGGATATGAAACTGGTGCAAACAATGATTGTAAAGCCAGTTTATGCAAAGCGTACATATAAATACAAATATTACGCGACTAATAACGGTAGTGAGCTTAGCCCCACTTGTAGCCTTTAGCGTCACGGTCACGTGGAAGGCGAGTTACTCGGTTCACTGATGATGCTGGGGGATCGTTGTGTTTGTCAGGGTTTAGCATGAGGCATAAAGCAACGTATACATATGAAAGAATAAGAACACCCAATAGATACCTTCTGCAAGGAATCAAGTCTGCATTGATCCCACGTGCTTGTGGTGGACATGCAAACAAAACATGCTCTGATATAAAGTGTGCGTCGTCTTTGAAACCGATTGGCTTACCCCAGAGACTGCCTTCTTCATGGTCTAGTCTCACCACCAGTGTCAGAGCAGAGAACGCAAAAAGGCGAACAGTGGATTTTTATTTTGGCTTCTCTGACCCCCACCCCACCGACACGAGTGAAACCAACCAATCAAGCTGTGCGTTCTCATTTTATTTAGAGGGGGGGGATAAAAAAAAGTGAACAATGAAGCGTAGAGAGAGATGCACGCCATTGACGTACGCTCAGAGACAGAACGAGGAACGCTCAGGATTTGAGAATGAAATGCGGACGAACTACGTCGTTTTAACACGTAGGAGGCGTTCGCGAGCAGTATTATAATAAGAGGTTTTTGTTGGGTTCGATCGCGGAAATAAACGTGTCGTTAAAACCTCCGCCATCCGACACAGCCAATGGTAACGTTTGTCACGTGTGTTGGAGAGTAAACCCAGAAAATGTATTTATTTTACATTAAATTAACATATAATTAATATGTAATTAAATGTTAAAAATAAATGTTGTGGGTTTACTTTCCAACACACCGGTGTTGCTGAACTCGCAACGGATTGGCACGTTTTGTTTACGCGACAAACCTTGCTAATAGGCTGTGTCGGGTGGTGGCGGGTTTAACGACGCATTTATTTTTACGCGATCTAAACCAAAAACCTCTAGTATGAATGACTTAATTAAACCCATTGTGAAACCAGTTCAGATATCACTCGCCACTGATGTTGGCCGTGGAATCAAACTCATGGTTAGTGTGTGGGTTCACAGCCCAGTGACCGAACTGATGTGCCGCTACTCCGCCCTTTAACGTAGCAAATAGCCAACATCAATGCACATATTCCATTACATAATTATTATATGGTCATGTTAATACGACATTTTAAACTTAAAATTTTTTGAAAATCATTTCGC